ACCTCTGCAGAAGGGGGAAAGGCCCCTTCATTGTGAGGCTGGTATCTGAGGGAGAGAAAGGTCAGCCAGAGGCCATCCCAACATGCTCAGGGAAGTGACATGGGGAACCCAGGCAAAGCAATTAATACTGAAGGAAGGGAAACCCAGTTCACAGCACAGAGCTAGGGAGCCGGGACATGGAGACACCCACTAGGAAACAGCCCTCTTATGCCACAACTAAGTTCCTCCATCTTTTTGAAGATGTTCTCAAGATTTAATGCTGATAATACATTCAAAAGTTCAAAGTTTATTAAATCTACTAACTAAATGTAATTATAGAAAGAGATGAACACACACTACTTTTTAAAACAGTCTCTTGAAATGGGGGGCAGAAGGCCAGGCGCGGTGACCCAAGCCTATAATCCCAGCACTTTGGGAGGCCAAGGCAAGAGGAATGCCTGAGCCCGAGGGTTCAAGACCAGCCTGGGCAACATAGTGAGACCTCATCTCTACAATAAATCAAAAAATTAGGGCGGGCTCGGTGGCTCAGCCTGTAATCCCAGCACTTTGGGAGGCCGAGGTGAGTGGATTGCCTGAGCCCACGGGTTCGAGACCTGCCTGGCCAACTTGGCAAGCCCTCATCTCTACAATAAATCAAAAATTAGCCGGGCGTGGTAACGCGCGCCTGTAGTTCCAGGTACTTGGAAGGCTGAGGCGGAAGGATCACCGGAGCCCAGGAGGTTGAGGCAGTGGTGGCTAGAAGCGTGCCACTGCACTCCAGCCTGGGTGACAGAGTGAGACTTCAACTCAAAAAAAAAAAGGAAAAGAAAAAGAAAGGGGGGCATGAATAGCTCCCTAAAGTCAAGAGGGACACTATGAGCCAATATAGAATCAACTTACATTGGGCCCTTGGGGTCTCTGGACACTTTCTAATTGCATCATACTCAAAAATTAAGATTGTATAGCCTATCTCATGTCAGCAAGACATAAACAGCGTGCCTTTCTCTTAAGGCAACTAACATTATTTGCCAAAGCAACCAATATTATTTTCCAGAAACTTCCATTTACTCAAAGAATGTGTCAGAGAACTAGCAACAGACAAGTTCTCCACCGAGAGGGAAGCAAGACCAGGTCTTCCAACACTTGTTGCATAGAAAAGGACTCTGAGCTCAAGTTAAAGCTCCCTAAAACTCCAAGAGCACTTGCATCTTTGAGATTTTTTCCTTGGTCATTATTCTGTGTTTATTTGTTTTTGTTTTTTATAGTTAGAGTCTCACTGTCACCCAGGCTGGAGAGCAGTGGCATGCTCACGGCCACCACAGCCTCAACCTGCTGGGCTCAGGTGATCCTTCTGCCTCAGCCTTCCAAGTAGCAGGAACCACACCTGGCTAATTTTTAAAAATCTATTGTAAAGACTAGGTCTCGCCAAGTTCCCCAGGCTGGTCTCAAACCCCTGGGCTCAGGCAATTCTCTTGCCTCTGCTTCACAAAGTGCAGGGATTACAGGCATGAGCCACCCCACCCAGTATTAACCTGCGTTTAAAACACTCCCTCTTTCAAGCAACCACAAATTAGGAAACATTCAAGGTCTGTTGAATTCTCAAGTGACAAGAAGACAGAGGGAAATGGGCAGAAGGGAATATTTCAGGACCATCCAACAATCCACTTCTTTAAAAAACATCAATCTCAGTTTAGGTTCTGGAACAATTTGGTCTTCTGCACTTGAAATCTAATTTGCATAAACAGGATGGGACGTGTTTTCCAATTCCTTAATTCACAACACCCTGCACACCTGGGCCTTCAAGCACAGCTGTAAAATCTGAACGACAAAGGCCCACTTTGCTTCACAACCATAATGGCAACCATAGTCTGTGTTTATTCTCTAATGTAACCATAAGCACCACTGTGTCAAAATCGGCAAGGTTAGATTTCAGTTACCTGATTTGGTATTACAAACGCTTACTATAAAAGACACTCAAATCATAAACTCATCTTAATGTGGCTTGGGAACACCACATTTGGTGTCCTTTTGTAAGTGTCCTTGCTTTTGAATGCCCTGTCATCTTTCTTTCACACCGAGATAAAAAATCTGGGTTCATCTTTCCTTTGGGTGCTGCCTGTCTTTTCAGTCCCAAATGGCCATCATTCAGCACCCAGAACATTTAAGCTAGCAACATTTTGTGACTAAACACTGCTCAAATTTACCCCACAGGTTAGAGTCTAAGGTAAATTGTATTGAATACTTCTTAAACAGCTTCTGAAGCCTTACTCTCAAAAATAATTTCAAAGAAAGCAAACATCAAAATCTAATAAGTTCAACTTCTTCTAAGGTTCTGGGAAGCTGGAATAAGGCTTGGCAGTGGCTTGGTGCTATTTATGAATGTGCTGGATTGGACCACGCCAATCGCACCTACGTAATGGGATGGGAAACTCAGTTATGGCTTGACTACTACAACTATAAGTTATTGTGCTAAATAAGTTATACTCAGGTCCCAGGAATGAACCTAGTTCCGCCTCTATCAGCTCTATTCCATTTCTTCTGTTCACACAATTTACATTCACTGTTTAGAAGTTTTGCTTTCCTTAAACTAGGCCTAGGAGCAACCCCTAAACTAGATACACTGTTTACAAAAGCAAAAAAAAAAGTCCCATAAAGTCACAGGTCCCCTACTATCTCAAACCCACAGCCTGAAATTGTTTGAACTAGCTGTAGTAAATCTAGCTCATGGGATTATAAACTGGCTCAAAGCGTTTTCTAAACACAATGGGCTTAGAGAGGGTAAACTTGTAGAAACTAAAAGATACTTTATTATATTATATACAGATATTTTCTCCCTGAAAATGCTGCTGAATCTCAGGCAGAAATATAAGGCGTATAAATATCCTTAAGAAATTTTTAGAATAAGACTAATGGTTTAAATTGAGGAAGTCTGAAATTTAAAAACAAAAAGTCCCACATTTGCTTGGTGTTTGTTTAATTAGAAATAAGATAACTGCACAAATATCAAAGGATAGTGATTTAGTACTGTACTGCCACATACCAACCAGAAATCACACTGCTCACATCTTAGAATCGAATCAGTTGACACTAAAATCAGTATAATCAAGTCTACTGAAGCTCAAAATACCTGGTCTAGTATTTATTGATCATCAAATGTGTGAGTAAAAGAAAACGACTACAACTTTAAAGGTATTTAAGCCAGGTAAAATGTTACTCCTAGGCAACAGAAAGCCTTAAAAAAATTTTTTTAATTAAAAATTTTTTAAAAAACAGTATGTTTCGCTCCAAAAATTAAAGGGCGAGGTAAAGTGAAACTTGTGACCACAGTGCAAATAAGAGGTCACCGTTTCCTCTCCTGGAGGTAGCCGCTTCAGAACTGTGTTCCCTACAATGCTCCTGACACATGGCACTGGGAGTCAGTCTTCCAACAGGTGAACGCTTAAGAAGTTAATCTGATTCTGCCCACATGATTCTATTTTAAAATACTACCTTATGTAAAGGAAAACAAAATCACAATACCTAGACTGCCTCAACTAAATAAAACACTATCTAAGGATAATACTGGGCTCTCTCTCCCAGTACTTAACATGGTTACCGCCGATGTTAAAACCTGGCCTAAGACCACTGACTTTCACTAAGTCAGTAAATTCCACAGAAGAAGCAGGTATTGAAGAAAAAAACCTAACAGTAGCTAGAGTACTGGCCAGCTTCAGACTCTGTAGTACTTGTGTCTCTTGGGCCAAGTTAAAGATCCATACCCTATTTTGAGAGGTGCAGGACCTTCACATTAGAAGGGAATTAACTTCTTTCCCTTCCTGGCAGCCAGATACTCAGACCACATTTGCTTCAATCAAGCCACAGGTGTTGGTTAAAACTTGTGTCACCAGTTTCGTTACTCTTTTTTAAACAGCGAATGTCATGCCTGAGGTTACTACTGTGCCTCTTCTATGTTCTAGGAAAAATGTCCAATTATTCAACTCAAAAGTTGACTATTTGAGCTAGGCCTTTTCTAGAAGGTACTGCTAGTTCTACAGAGATGCTAATTGCTGATAACTGGACAGGATTTGACTCGTGGACCAGATTTTTAGTGTTCTATTCTACCATGTTTACAGAAATCTAATGTCTTTTTTTTCCTGCCAAATCCCCTGTAAGAAGTGTCCCACTAAGTCCTAATAGGTCCAAATCCTGACAGCAAAGAAAAGAGCTTCTTTCAAGTGAAACAAACTGCTTAAATCAGCCAAGCCCTGGCACCCTCTCTTGAAGGAGCACTACTCCAAAACTAATTTGCACCATTTATGGAGGAGAAACTCTTCAGGGTGGGTCTCACCCCATTGGATCATCAAGCTCAATGGGGCCCTAGGGAACATACAGGAAGGGTCTGGAACACAGTTCCCTCAAGTGTCAATCAGGCGGAAAGAACAAACTCCCGGCACTCACAGATCTCCCCAAACTGTCAAAGTCCTCTAACTCGGGAGTCCCCCGGGGAAAGCTGCCTTCTGCCCCGGGCCAGAGCCAAGTCAGTCCACCGTGGTCCTCGGGGACCAGGAGGCGGCTACACACACACTCTCGCTAATAAATAATGTAAGTGAAAGACTGGTGCCAAGAGTCACCTTCATTCATTACCCACTGGAAAACCAAGGAGTTCAGTCCCCAATTGCAGGGGAGAAGAACCAAAACACACACCCGCCGACCCCCACACAGACCCCCTCACACCCTATTTCAGAAGATTCCCACCCACCCACAAACACACTCGCCTCGCTCCTCACTCACCTCTCTCACCTCCAGACTCCCACTCACTAACCCCAAGATCGCCTTCACGACCCCCGCTCGCTCACCTCCAGGCCCCACGAGGCACACTTCTCCGGACTCGGGCCCGCTCTCTCCCCCCCGGACTCCTAGGCACCAAATCGCCCCCGCCACCCCACGCCAACAGTCTTCCAGCCCACACGCCCCGACCCACGCCCCCGGCCCCAAGGGGCTGCGCCCCGGGGTGCAGAGAGGACGGCAAGGGCGGTACTCACAGGCTCCGCGTCCAGGAGGGCAGGTCCCGGGGCAGCGCCGCCAGCCCGCGCCCGCCGCAGTCCAGCGAGTCCCCAGCGCAAGTGCAGGCGGGCGCGCAGGGCGCCCGCGGGTCAGCCACAGCCGTCGCCGGCTCCAACCGAAGCAGCAGCAGCAGCCACAGACGGAGAAGGCAAGGCGAGCAGCGCGGGACCCCGAGCGCTCCCCGGACCGGCCGCGCCATCTTGTCGGGA